AGTGTTTGAATGAATGTAGGGAGGTTAAGGTGAATAGCCAGGTATTAGTTTCATTCTCCATTGGGCGTTATGTCGATGAGGTTTTGTGTGATGTAGTCCCAATGCATACTAGTCCTTTGCTTTTGGGACGTCCTTGGCAGTTTGATAGGCGAGTTATGCATAATGGGTATAGAAATAGATATTCATTTGTAATGCATGGCAAACCTATAACACTTGTACCATTAACACCTAGACAGGTGCATGATGATCAAATGAGGTTAAAAAGTGAGTTTGAGGGAAGAAAAAAAGAGAGTGATAATGAAAAAAAAGAGGGAAATAGAGTGAAAGTGAAAAAAAAATGAGGGAAAAATAGAGAGGCTGTTGAATCTTCAAGGAGTGAAAAGAGTGAAAGTTCACAAAAGCAAGAGAGGAAAAATGTGAGTTTCTATGCAAAAGAACGAGAGGTTAAGGGAGCTTTTTATTCTGGGCAACCGATGATTGTACTTATGTAAAAGAAGGCCTTTCTAAATACTAACGAGCTTAACCCTACTTTGCCTAGTGTTGTTGATTCTCTTTTGCAGGAGTTCGATGATGTTTTTCCCAAGGAAATCCCAAATGGCTTGCCACCAATCAGAGGGATTGAACATCATATTGATTTCATTCATGGTGCAATGATTCCCAATCGTCTAGCTTATAGGAGTAATCCTAAGGAGGCGAAGGAGCTTCAAAGGTAAGTTGAGGAGCTGATGTCAAAGGGTCATGTAAGGGAGAGATTGAGTCCTTCTGCAGTTCTAGTGTTACTTGTGCCTAAAAAGGATGGGACTTGGAGGATGTGCACCAATTGTCGCGCCGTGAATAAAATAACGATAAAGTATCGTCATCCCATTCCTAGACTTGATGACATGTTAAATGAATTGCATGACGCTTGTTTGTTTAGCAAAATTGATCTGAAATTTGGTTATCAGCAAATTAGGATGAGAAAGGTGATGAATGGAAAACGACATTTAAGACTAAATATGGTTTATATGAATGGCTGGTAATGCCTTTTCGTTTAACCAATGCACCTAGTACATTTATGCGTCTAATGAACCATGTTTTGAGTGTTTTTATTGGTAAATTTGTTGTCATTTATTTCGATGATATCTTGATTTACAGTAAGAGCGTAGATGAGCATGTTGAACATTTGAGGCTTGTGTTATGTTCTTTGCGTAATGCTTAGTTATTTGCTAACATTAAGAAATGTTCGTTTTGCACTAGTCAGATTGTTTTCTTAGGATATGTTGTTAGTGCTAAGGGCATTGAGGTTGATGAGGAGAAGGTTAAGGCTATTCGAGAATGGCCTACACCTAAAACCATTATCGAGGTACGTAACTTTCATGGTCTTGCTAGTTTTTATAGAAGGTTTGTAAAGGATTTTAGCACCATAGCTGCACCATTGATTGAAATCGTTAAGAAAAGCGTAGGGTTTAAATTGGGAAGGGACCAAGAAGTTACTTTTAATTTGATTAAAGAAAAACTTAGTTCTGCACCTTTACTTGCTTTGCCTAACTTTTCTCAAACTTTTGAAGTTGAGTGTGATACCTCAAGTATTGGAATTGGAGCTGTTTTAATGCAGGGAGGTCGTCCTTTAGCTTATTTCAGTGAGAAGCTAAATGGGGCAGCCTTAAATTACCCGACTTATGATAAGGAGCTTTATGCATTGGTGAGGGCGTTAGAGACTTGGCAACATTATCTTTGGCCCAAGGAGTTTTTCATCCACACTGATCATGAGTCTTTGAAACATTTGAAAGGTCAAGTTAAGCTGAATAAACGCCATGTTAAATGGGTTGAATTCATTGAGACATTCCCCTACGTTATCAAATACAAGATGGGGAAAGAGAATGTGGTTGTTGATGCTTTATCTCGAAGGTATGCTTTAGTTTCCACTTTAAATGCAAAGTTGCTTGGTTTTGAGTATATTAAGGATTTATATGCTATTGATTCTGACTTTGCTAATGTGTTTGATGCTTGTGAGAGTTCGGGTTTTGGTAAGTTTTATAGGCATGATGGGTTCTTGTTTCGAGAGAATCGATTGTGTGTGCCTAATTGTTCGATGCATGAGTTATTAGTTAGAGAAGCACATGGGGGTGGTTTAATGGGACACTTTGGTGTTAGGAAAACCTTAGATGTGTTAGTTGAACACTTTTTCTGGCCACATATGAAACGGGATGTTGAGCGAATTTGTGAGAAATGTGTTGCTTGTAAAAAGGCTAAGCCTAAGGTTCAGCCCCATGGTTTGTATAATCCCTTGCCTATACCTAGTTCGCCTTGGGTAGACATCTCCATGGATTTTGTGTTAAGTTTACCTTGGACAAAAAGAGGACGGGATTTTGTGTTTGTTGTTGTTGATAGATTTTCAAAGATGGCACATTTCATTGCGTGTCATAAGGCCGATAATGCTAGCAATGTAGCTGATTTGTTCTTTAGAGAGGTGGTGTGTTTACATGGGGTGCCTCGGAGCATTGTGTTAGATCGTGATGCTAAGTTTTTGAGCTATTTCTGGAAGACGTTGTGGAGTAAGCTTGGTACTAAATTGTTCATTTCTACTACTTGCCATCCACAAATTGATGGACAAACTAAGGTAACTAATTGTACTCTTTCTACTTTATTGCGTGCTGTCATTGGTAAGAATTTAAAACCTTGGGAGGATTGTTTGCCTCATGTCGAATTTGCTTATAATCGTAGTGTGCATTCTGCTACTAATTATTCCCCGTTTGAAATTGTCTATGGTTTTAATCCTTTAACTCCATTAGATTTGATGTCTTTGCCTGTTGATGAGTGTGCTAATTTAGACGGAGAACGAAAGGCTGAATTGGAGAAGCAAATGCATGAGAAAGTTAGATTGCACATTGAGAGGCGAACGAGGCAATATGCTACTCAAGCTAATAAAGGGCGTAAGAAGGTGATTTTTGAGCCTGGAGATTGGGTTTGGGTGCATATGTGAAAGGAGCATTTTCCTGCACAAAGACGTTCTAAGTTGCAGCCTAGAGGAGATGGGCATTTTCAAGAGATGGCAAGGATAAATGATAACGCTTACAGACTAGACCTTCCTGGTGAGTATAGTGTTAGTACTACTTTTAACGTTACTGATCTTTCTCCTTTTATTGCAGATGACAAAGATTCCAGGACGAATCCTTTTGAGGAGAGGGGGAATGATGCAATGCAATCTAATCCGTTGAGCATAAATGGAGGTCCTAGGACNCGAGGACGAATCCTTTTAAGGAGAAGGGGAATGATGCAATGCAATCTGATCCGTTGAGCATAAATGAAGGTCCTATAACTCGGGCGAAAGCGAAAAGGATGAAGGGGGCATTGAACAGACTGATTCAAGATATATGGGCTGATTGTGCAAGTTCAAGCATGAAGAGTGCGTTTGGAGGCTTTTCTACCGTGGCATGCGTGGGCTTTAAGAGGAAAAGGCCTCAAGTTTATTTTAATGTAATTCAATTTCAACAAACTTGATTAAAGTGGCTGTATGGGCTTATTTAGGTTATTTAGGGATTTTGGGCTAATTACTTGTTTTAAGCCCAACTTTAGTTATTCCTATTTAGACTAGGATTTGTTTTAAGGCTTTATATACACATATAAGACCTAGGAAAAAAGAACATAATATTTTTTTATGAGTTTTGTAAGGTTTCTACCTTATTGTTCTTCCAAGAACTATTCCAAGAAATTATCAAGAATTAATCTTTCTTGTAGCGTTCATTGACTTATCACTCAATCTTGAGTGTGACGTCTTTCTCTTGAATTTTTAACCTTGGGTTCTTGTTTCTTGAAAACATTGGTTCTATAGTTCTTGGTTCTTATAATCTGATTTGTGAACTTTCTTGGAAAGTCTTTAATCAATTTGCCTGTGTGTTCTTGTATTCGTTTAAGGGTTTAGATCACTTTCTCGCCCTCTTTGTTTCCATTCAACTCTGTGTTGATTTAGTGAAATATAATGGCTGAAAAAGGTGACAGACTTGCCATCGGACCGTTAAATCGTGTTATTTTTTTTGTCTACAGTATGATTTAAAAAAATATATTTATTTAATAAATATTGTAGACAAACAATAGATATTTTATAATTTTTTTTAAAAGTTTTAAAAATATTTTTTTAATAACTCGAACACGATACGAAAATGTCATGACACAACACAATTGAGAGATATTTAATGAGTATTAATGAATAAATTTTTTTTTAGATCATAAATATGAAATATTTAAACTTTGAGAGTATAATTTATAATTAACTCAAACTTTTTTAACGATAAAATGGACAACAGTTAGCCTTAAATTCCGTTGATACGAATTTATGTTGGGATTCAAATTTATACTTTAAAACTTTGAGGTTGTAAATTAAAATTCGAGTGATCTTTCAGAGTACGAGTTACGATTAGCCATAATAATTATGAAACGGTACAAAATTTTCCAAGTTGCGACCGATTTAAGCAATTTCTTGGTCTGTAAACTTTCAGCTTTCTCCAAATTGCCACAATTTAATTGATTTATGGGGCAGTAAACCGTCAGTTTCTTGAAAAAAAAATCTCCCATTTTCTATAAGATCTGTCATGCGTAAATGAATCAGAAGAGCTTTCACTCAACCAGTACAAGATTTGATGCATTTTAAAAAATAATACATAAAGAACAGAAGCCAATCAGACCTGAAACCTTATGCCACAAATGTGGGGCCATTTTTTATCCCCAGAGAAGAAAAATTGAACAAATCCAAATAAACTCATTTTCTAGGCAACTTGAATACAGGATCATCCGCAATACTAATACCATTTCCCACTCCACCTCTACAGACTAACAGCTTATTGTCCATGAAAATAACAGCCAGCAGCTATTGATGGGTATATGGTTAATCCTTTTATGGACAGTTCTCGTACACTTTGTGCAAATAATGTCAATAATCAGGTCTCTTGCAAATACACCTCTCTCTACTCTTCGATCAAAGGGGGCCTAAATTGAGTAACGCGTCTTTGTTCCAATTACATGAACTAGAATACATGCAACAACTTTTCTCGGATCTTTTGCAGCCAGTTTATCGGAAAACTGGAGGTTGCTTCATGTAGAGACGCTGCTTTTCTTTCATCATTGACGGTAACTTGAGAATCAACCGATTTTATGCCAAGCTCAATGCCAGCTTTATGCTGAGATTCCTTTAGAGAAGTCTCTGGTTTTACCTTTATCTTCACTGGTGTGCCAAGCTTTGATTTATCTTCCATTCTTGCAATTTCAAGAGCCCGTTCACAGATTGGAAATCCCCGATCATCCCAGGACTCCAAGATCACGCCAGAGCCAATGCACGTTATTCCATCATAGAAGGCCGCAAATTGCCCAGCTGCCAGACCCTGATCATCTTCAGAGAGCTGGACTTCCGCAACTTCATGGCCATTTTCATCAACTTTTGTTGTCAAGGTGCAATTGTAAAAACCAGGGCCATGTCGGACCTGAAATTATTTGTGACATCAGCACAAAAGAGGGTGTGGGATCAAGAACTCAAAATTTAATGCGATAAATGGACACAGCCCATGGGCACTCGTGAAAGATCACAAAATGGACTTCAACACGAAAAATCATTACAAACACCATATTGCAGCCCTTAAAGACTAGGCGACTTGTTTGGTGCAAAAGAAAAAATAATCTAAGTCCTGCAAACCAAACTTCTCTTACACTCGGGTGGTGATTAGTAGTCATAGTGAAGCTCAATGGTACCATGGTTGCACCAAGGTACGAAGAAAAAAAGGAAACTCTGGTCATGTAGTTGTTCTTTAGCTCTAGATGAGAGGGCCTGCGCATCAAAACCTTTGATGAAATTTCATACCGCCTGGGGAGTTGAAGAACATCAAAGGGCTCCCACTGCACACTGTAGTTTGAACAAGCTTTTCATTGCTTTTATTACACAGGGGATGGTAACCTATTCACCCAAAAGATGGATAGGATTTTGCTCAAGAATAAGCAAAACTGTGAATGGCCTTTGGGTTGTCACAAAAAAGGTCTTCATGAAAAATGCACATGAGCTTAGTCATGGAGGTACCTATCTTTTCTTCTAAAGCGGAAGCGGAGAAATTTTCTAAAAACTCTTTCATTTTAGGTAAAATTTCCATTTGTGGTACGTGTGAACAATGAAAGCTTCAGGTAGAGGTCTAAGTAATTGTTGAAAAAAATCCTCCACTGGTCCCAATTTATCTGGGACAATGTTCCTCATTTGTCCCAAGAAGCCAAGGCATCATGAAATTCTCAAAGATCATAAATCAATGAAACAGGAATCAAGCTTTGTACCTTGCACACAAGCCGATTGATCTGGCTAGGAGGCGACCTGCTAAGCCATTTCAAGGATCCGACACTGAATAACCGCCTTCTTTTGTCAACTGAGAAATAGTCCCTTGATACAAAGACTACATTATTTTTAACATCTTTCTCGACGACATACCTACATAAGATGCACCACAAAGGAATTATTTAGAAAATCTTAATCTCTATGGCTAAGGAGGTGCACTGTTTGAGATTAACACCAATAGTTGGAACCTATCCCCAAAGGGTGAAAAGGAAAGAAAAATCTAGCATGTACGACAGTGCAAGTATTTGGAGTTTAAATACCAGCTTTGTCTACAGATGTTACTGACAGCATTGAGAGTCTTTGATGGTTAGCACTTAAATGACCTTGTATAGGTATGCAGTATGCTGATAAGACAACCTTGGCAACAATTTTGTGAAATGGATTTGGTGGGGTCCATCATGTACATTACAACAATTTAAAAAGCTTCAACCTTTAACTAAATGTCTAACTATACAACTAGTTCAATGACACTTTTTTTATAACGGACAACTATGACCAGTTTTAATGATATAACTTCAATCAATATTCTTGCATACAATTTATAGTACTAACTCATTCATGATTTATGCCAGTTAAATATTGAGAGCATACCAGGGCCCTCCAGGGAGCCGTAAACCTTGGCGTTGGCCAATTGTGTAGAACCAAAAACCCCGGTGTTTCCCAAGAAAATCTCCTGTCTCAGCCTGCAATATTACACCTTCTGTCTCCCCAATGTGTTTTGCAATGAATTCACTGAACTTTATCTGTCACCAAAAATAAATTGATGACCGAGGCATCAGAATCATTACTGACCAAAACAACTGGATTTTTTTGAACATAGCAAAACAACTGGATAAAAGACATAGAATGAAGGGAAAAAATTAGAAACATGAGATTATTTTCCTAATATTGTCACCTACAATGAATCCACAGCGAGATGTTCCACTTTATTGAGAAAGGAAAGCAACTTATCAAAAGACTCGGTCAATTAACATATTTCAATTGCTTTCTAATGACAAGTTGATAGAGCCATAGTTAGACTATTGTCCACTAATCAAAGCTTAAAGATCAACACTTCACATAATTATTTCATATTTTATTGTATGATATAATGTTAATTACAGACTTAAAAGATCCAATATGAAAAATAATCTTCCTCATATAATTCACAAATATGTGTTGGCAAGACATACCTTCCCAAGAAAGCATATTCCTTGTGAATCCTTTCTATCCTGGTTTGGTAAATCAAATTTTTTGGCAAGTTTGCGGACATCGTCCTGCAGATAACTTCACTGGATGAAAGAAAAAGAATGAAAGATTCATGGAAGAGTGCAAAATGGAATGTATTCACAAAACAAAGGATAATGTGTCCATCACAGATACGAAGTGTTTTAGAAAACAAAAACAGACTGGTTACAAGATGACTGGCCAAGCTTCCACATACTACAAACATGACACTTAACCCAAAAAAATTTACAAACATGCAAGTAATAGCACCTAATGGGTCACCCAATGCAAGGGTAACAAAATAGTTGTAGAACAAAGCCTGACAGAATTATTTCTTATGCAACTGCTTCATTCTTCTTATACAAGAAATATTGAGCCCCTCAATTGTTCAATATACAACACCATGCATTTCAACTCCTTTTCCTCCATGATCTGTATAACTAATCTATTTGGAATCGAACTGATATTGCCAAGTTTCTGAATAGCAGTTACTTACCCCCCCCCCCAAAAAAAAATATATATATATGTATAAACATACGTACATACAAATATATACACACACATATATATGCGCATGTATATCAAGAAATATCATGCACATGCACAAATTTCAAGTGGAAATTAGTCCACCTAACCTTTGGGATACATCCAAGAGGGAAAATAAGTCGTCTAAGCTGAGCCTGTGAGAGGTGTGAAAGGAAATAGGTTTGATCCTTGACCTGAAATACAGCAAACTGCATATATAAAAACAAAGTTGTATATGCAAGGAAAGAAAATTTTGAAAATAGCAAAGTCCCTCATTAAGTATCTACAAGACTCTAACTGGATTAGAACAGTACATTAAACGCAGCATAAAAGTTTTAGCTTTAAATCATATGCATGAACTAATCATGAAGCTAAGAGACACGAAGGAACTTTCCACAACAATCTGCCAATTTAAACCAAGGCAATTTAAAAAGAGAGCCCTTGATATGTTGTTTCCCTAAACATAGATTGGTTGGAAGGCTGAACAAGAGAAATCTGGCGGAGAACAACAGGCAAGTGCCCTCATCCTGTAGGCTTTAGTATAAACAAGACAAAACCAGAATACATGAATTCTCAAAGGTAGTCCATGAAGTGAAGCCATGGCATTAATATTTTTCGTCGTATACTGGTTGACACTCTTTTCCATTGGCATGCGGACATAGTCATGCGGTGTTTATCAATTTTTCTGTTTTCCAAAAATATTTTTTTTCCTATTTGTGTTTCACAAAAAATATTTCTCTTACTTAAACTAGATCACTAAATGTGGGGAGCGAAAAGGAAATTACGAAGCACAAATTGAAGACTGGGGTTTTAAGAGTTTATTTAACATTGTTTTATCCATCCTTATTTGGGTTTATTTCTGATTTAAATATTATTCTTACAAGTTATTATTGGTAATTGCTAACAACGTTGTTAGGGTTACCTATTAATAGGGGTTTTATGTAATGTCTTTGAGAAGACTTAATCATTTATAAAATATTAAATTGCATTGGAATAGTTTAAATCTTTTCGTTTTCTCCTGGTTCGATTGCTTTTGTTACTTCATCTTGAATTTTGCTCTCTTCTTTTGCAATAATATATCCTTCTCCTTTCTTGTCCTGCGTCAATTGATACTAGAGTCCCACTTTGATCCATAGTAGCTATTGCTTCTTGTTGGCTATGACCAGTAAGTCGAACCCCATTCCTATANAAAAAAAATATATATATATGTATAAACATACGTACATACAAATATATACACACACATATATATGCGCATGTATATCAAGAAATATCATGCACATGCACAAATTTCAAGTGGAAATTAGTCCACCTAACCTTTGGGATACATCCAAGAGGGAAAATAAGTCGTCTAAGCTGAGCCTGTGAGAGGTGTGAAAGGAAATAGGTTTGATCCTTGACCTGAAATACAGCAAACTGCATATATAAAAACAAAGTTGTATATGCAAGGAAAGAAAATTTTGAAAATAGCAAAGTCCCTCATTAAGTATCTACAAGACTCTAACTGGATTAGAACAGTACATTAAACGCAGCATAAAAGTTTTAGCTTTAAATCATATGCATGAACTAATCATGAAGCTAAGAGACACGAAGGAACTTTCCACAACAATCTGCCAATTTAAACCAAGGCAATTTAAAAAGAGAGCCCTTGATATGTTGTTTCCCTAAACATAGATTGGTTGGAAGGCTGAACAAGAGAAATCTGGCGGAGAACAACAGGCAAGTGCCCTCATCCTGTAGGCTTTAGTATAAACAAGACAAAACCAGAATACATGAATTCTCAAAGGTAGTCCATGAAGTGAAGCCATGGCATTAATATTTTTCGTCGTATACTGGTTGACACTCTTTTCCATTGGCATGCGGACATAGTCATGCGGTGTTTATCAATTTTTCTGTTTTCCAAAAATATTTTTTTTCCTATCTGTGTTTCACAAAAAATATTTCTCTTACTTAAACTAGATCACTAAATGTGGGGAGCGAAAAGGAAATTACGAAGCACAAATTGAAGACTGGGGTTTTAAGAGTTTATTTAACATTGTTTTATCCATCCTTATTTGGGTTTATTTCTGATTTAAATATTATTCTTACAAGTTATTATTGGTAATTGCTAACAACGTTGTTAGGGTTACCTATTAATAGGGGTTTTATGTAATGTCTTTGAGAAGACTTAATCATTTATAAAATATTAAATTGCATTGGAATAGTTTAAATCTTTTCGTTTTCTCCTGGTTCGATTGCTTTTGTTACTTCATCTTGAATTTTGCTCTCTTCTTTTGCAATAATATATCCTTCTCCTTTCTTGTCCTGCGTCAATTGATACTAGAGTCCCACTTTGATCCATAGTAGCTATTGCTTCTTGTTGGCTATGACCAGTAAGTCGAACCCCATTCCTATAAACCTTTGACACTATCCACCATTCATCATCACCATCACCATCGCAACCATCATTGTTTCACCGCCATCCGCTGTCATCATCTTTGCCACTATCATAATTAAACAACACTACCCAATTAAAATACATGATTAACCAACACTACACATTCGGAGTTCACCACTTCCACGGTTACTGATGCAGAACATCACCAGTTCCTTCATTGTGATCATCTTGTACAGCACTATCCTTTTGTTGTCCACTGATAATTGTCGTCAGCGTCTTCTGTCGTGGTTGTCTCTAACCATCGTCAACAACCAGTCTCATCCCAAGTTACCGCCATCCAGGTCATGTGTAATGATTTTTGTGCATAGGGCTACCATCGAACACCAATAGTGAACAAGAGGACTTAAGTCTGGCTAATAGCTGGATTCAACCCTATCCAAGAATACTTGGTCAGAATCAACCAAAAAAGCAAGGCCCAAATCAGGATCAGCCCCAACACATTCGATAGATCATTACCATGTTCTGTTAGGCAACTGTAGCCTTTTTAGGCATGCGTGCGTCCACAACCCCGACTTCATCTAGGGACGAATACCATCATCCAGGCGAGACTTTAGGCCCGCAACATCCCCCAGACCAAAGAAAATGAGTTCTGCTAGCAGTTGCACAGTTCTTAACTTTTCACTGCCAATTGGAGCCTTTAGCATTCAATAAGGCTATTTAGACTTCAAGAAAGGTAATAATACTGCACTAGACAGACTGAATATAATTTGTCTATTCATTTAGAAGTAAGAAAAGTTTGCAGAGGTCGAGGATTTTTTGCCAAAAATATTTTCTGCTTTGTCTACATGATTTGCTGACTTCTTTCTACAGTGTTGATTTTTTTTGTGCTCCCTCATTCTTCAAAAGTAAATCATGAGAATCCATGATGCACCTAATCATGAGTATTTATGACCCACATAAGGTCATCATTAATATACTTCATTCCGCAATAATCTCAGATTCATCAGGAACAAAATATCCCATTAGGGAAAGAGTCGATAATGCTAAATATAAATTTTATCTAACTGAACAATTAGCAAAATAGGATGGACACTTTGAAAGACCATATAGGTGTCCGCCATCTCAGCCGTCTTATTATGATGGTAGGTTGGGTCCTAAGACTAACCTATATGCTAGACTGAATACATATAATATCTCCTTCAATGCAAGTACTTACATACCATATCTCTTGATAGTTCCAAAACAGAAGGCCCATCTGTTTGATCACTAAATGTGTGAACAACTTTTGCATAATGTCCAGAAGCAACAAAGTCAAATTCCAAATTCGAGATGGCATCCATGAAAGCACCTGCAACTTTGAAGATGAACTAGATTACTAAAACAGAACAAGATAAAGTATAACTGCATAACAGAAAAACCACACACCAAATTTTATTCTCGTATTGCAAAGAACATCTGGATTAGGGGTACAACCACATCGGTACTCTTTTATTATGTACGAGACCTGCAACATGGACATGAGTTTCATGACTTCTCAATTAATAATTCTCCGGTCTTACACAAGAAAGAGCATAGGGGCAGCATGATAAAGCAGGCAAGAGTATAAAGAGGCCAATAACATGTATTTTTTTATTATAGTTGAGCACGAACAATACATAATCTCAACCAGTTTATACATCTAAAAGACCATCACAGTGTTGTAAATTACCCACAAAAAAATTGATTGACAATTAATAGAGGTTCGTGGAAAGCCTGTAGTCATGCAACAGAATTTAAGAAGCTACATTCTAGAGGGGCAAAACTTACCACATTATTCCAATATTCATCTGTCAAATGCACAATTTCCAGTGGTACATCCACCTGAAATCAAATATCTTAGTATATTTGTAAAATAGAGTCTATACTAGGATTATTAAGAGAAGCAAAATTCCCCTGCCAAGACAAGAATATTTTTTCATTGGATAAAAACAATCTATTCTATTGCAGATACAAAACTGGCTATCCAGACTTCTGCAACTCGCATGCATGATTAAACTTATACATCAGTTGGGGCTTTCTTTCAATTAAATAAAGGAGAGATACATGGCATCTTATTACAAACACAAACAAAGGAAAACTGACCTGCTCACAAACAGCCTTTGCGTACTTCAAATCTTCTTCCCACGGACATTCAGACCAAAAGTTTTCAAAGTCTTCCTACAAAAAGGAGTGGTATCAGAACCAGCTGAGAGTTTGCAAGCTTCGCACGTGCTCGAATACCCGAACACATAGGCAGTATTATGTGCACAAACATTTAAATTACCACAAACAAAAACTTCATTCTCTTATGTCATGTCCACAAGATCTATAGGTTCCACGCGGTTACACCTTAATTTGATTCCCTACCTCTAAAGTCTAGACAGCACTTGCGTGCAGAGAAATTTTTTTTTTTTGCATGTTTTCATTGAATCCAATTCAAGAAGACCAACAACGCCAATAAAAAAAAAAAGAGAAACACAAATTGATTTCTATACAAATCCTGACAAACTGAACTCATTAAATAGCTTCAATCACTACTGCTACAAGTATCAAAGGATTCAAGTTTTTTTTTACTATAGAAACACTTATATGCAAGCTTAAAAAAAAAAAAAAAATTTACTTCTATTTTCTCCTTCCAGAAATTTAATTTACTGAATAACTTCACAAATTAAAAACCCAATGCCCAATACGGCTACAATCAGTAATATTCCAACAATCACTGAATATGCACATATGTATATCTGGGTGTATACATACTTGGAACCAGATTTTAAGGTAGAAAGCGGTGCAGGAATGTCCGGCGGCGTGGAGTAAGCGGAGAGCGACGCTGCTATCGACGCCCCCACTGAGAAGAACAGCAACTTTGAGACGTTTATTGGGCATTGAACAGGAGAGATAACATGGGTCGAGGTCGACATGGGTTGAGATTGAAGAGGAAGACGTTTGGGGCAGAGTGGATGAGACAGAAAAGGGCCTGAGGGTGATAAACTTTCTGGGGTTTTTGGGTAAGAAGCAGAGGGGTCTGTGTAGTGAAAGAGAGCGGAAGGGTTTGAGAGTGTTGGGGTTGTGAAGGGTGATGTGAGAGAGAGTGGCCGTTGTTCTTAGCATTGCTCATACGCTGCTCTGCTCGGTCTGAGTGCGGCAGTTGGTGGGTGGTAAAGAGTCGGGAAAGTAAAAGAAATGGTTACGAGACTATTCACAATTTCATATTTATTTTTCTTGTTTCATAATTTTTTTATTATTCCCCCAACAAATTAATCATAAAAAATATTATTTATATCTAATTCAATGACTTATTTGATAATATAATGAATCATAATTATTAAATTTATTCTCATTTCATTAAATATTGGGAGAATTACGTCCAAATTTTACAAAATTTGTCACTTAATCATTCAGATCTCATAACATTTAAAATATTACATACAAATCTCTTAAAATTTAAACGCGTAACACATAGACCCCTATTGACAATATCCATTAGTAAATTACATCCAAAACCCTTTAAATTTATAGGCATATAATACTTCGACCTCTTAAATTTAAAATTTTATATTTAGAGTAAAACTACTTCAATCAAAAAAATAATAATCAAATATTATAAATTTTACAATTAAAATTCATGTGTTTATTATATCATTTATTGAAATAAAATCAAAAATAAAAAATTAATTTTTTCTTAAAAAATCATAATCAGTATACAATTATACTATCAATTAGAATAAAACTAAAAATAAACAAAGAGTCTAAGTCATTCATAATAGAATATGAATTTTACAATAAAAAATCATGTTCTATAATGTAATTTATTGAAATAAAATCAAAAATAAAAATCTAATTTTTTCTTAAAAATTATAATTAGTACGTAATTATATTATCTATTGAAATCAAACTAAAAAATCAAATAAGAGGTCAAACGGTAATGGACGTAATATCTTCTAACTTTAATTGGATTAATTTGGTAGTTTAATTTAGTTGTTTAAACGACCAAATTAAATTCCACTAAATAGTTTAATTATATATTAATTATCAATTTTTAAGAAAAAATTATATTTTTATTTTTAATTTTATTTTAATAAATGTCATAATAGAATATGAATTTTTGTTGTAATATTTAAAATATTTGATATTCTATCTCCGATTATAATATTTTTGGTCAAAATAAAATATTTTAAATTTGAGGATACAAGTATTGCACGCTTGTAGACTTTAGGGAGTTTAAGTGTAATTTACTAACGGATATACAAACATTAACGACAGAGGTTTAAATATTATGCACTTACAAATTTTAGGAGGTTTATTTATAATTTTGTATGAGTGATTAAGTGACAAATCTTATGGTGTCTCGATGTAATTCTCCCTTAAATATGTTAGACACCACTTGTTAAATTCTTTAAAACCAGTTGTTTCTCTGACAGGGTCCGCTAGGATATATATACACTCCGGCAACCTAGTTTAGTTGGTGCGTTTTAATACAACTCTCATTTCTGTTTAGATGACACTAAAAAAAAAAGTTTTATTTAAAAATGAAAATTAATTTTTGATCAATTTTGAGCCAAATTAAAATATCATTCACTCATCTTTGAATAAAATTTTATGAGTTCTAAACAACTTTCTTAAAATGTGAAAATAGATGTTAGATAATATGAGATATAACATCAATGGTTGAATAAGAAGCTTTACATGAGCATAAATATCCCAATTTTGCTCTATGGGTCTGGGTTTGACCACACACTTGCCTATCTCGACCCAATTGAGGGTATGAGTTAGATCCGACTTTATTTTTTTAAAGAAAATTTGTTTTGTGTCTGTTCATGTCAGACTTAAATGGTGCCTTCTGGATTGTATTGTGTATTTTAGGTTATATTAGCTCGCATAATAACTGTCCGGAACAGTCATCATTCTATTTATAAATAATTTAGATTCATTAGCATTCTAAACTTGTATTAACAAACATAATTAAGAGATTAAGACAGTCATTATATATAAATTTCGTCATTAAGAGTTTGTATTTTTTGAGAGTACAAAATATAAATTTTGGTTCCCTTAATAATTGTATTGGAGTGCTATTTCTCATTGCCCGAAGATCATTGTATTTTGCTTTAAATTGTATTATGTCAATTCTTCAATCCTCCTCGGTTGACAATGAGAATCATCCATTGGATTATGTTGAAACTACCTTAGTCAAACATAATGTTTATTAAATTAAAAGCAATTATGGAAGACATGATAAATCCGAAGAATCTTTTTTGGCATGTAAGTCCAACACAATTTACATTTTAAAGTCCTTTTTATTTGGGCTTATGATATTTACGTCCACACCAATTTAATTTATGAAAATTTGGGAGTCGAACTTTTTATAAAAACTTATTTGAGAATAAGTCCGTAAAGAAAATTTATTTAATCTTATGTCCGTTTTGCTTTAAATTGTCCAAAATATCTTTTCCATTTAGCCTTTCATTCAACGTTGTTTGTAAATGGAAAATCCCTTCAGCATCTTAACTACACAGAGGAAGAAAAGACGCCTAAACAACAGGCGATAAATCCTCCTCCTCCATCTTTCATGCAACCGAAATCTTCCCAAAATCCTTCCATATTCGAAATTTGAAGTAAGTAATCCCATGTTTGTTCGGCCAAAAATATATTTCCCATTTATTCCAACTTCGAAGTTGCTGTCGACCTAAAACTGAAGTCATTGAATAAATTACTGTGCATTCTAGAGTTCCGTTTCATATCTTGACAATTTCTGCATCAAACTTATATTCAAGTATGAATTACTTTTCAATTAGCAACATGAAAACTTCGATGTTACTATGTTACTGTGAAAAAAAATTCGATGTTACTATGAAAAAGATTTCGATGATACTGTGGGACGAAATTTCGATGTTTCTGTGGTAAAAAATTCGATGTTACTGTGGAAAAAAAATTGATGATACCATGAGAAGAAATTTTTGATATTTCTGTGGTAAAAATTTTAATGTTTCTATTGGAAATATTTTGATGTTTCTATTTGAAGAAATTTCGATGTTACTGTTTCTAGTTTAAATAATGTAATTAATGTTCAATCATATTCAGGTATGAATTCTTTTTCTAATCATCTACATGAAAACTCTATTTGAAAAAAATTAAATGTTACTGTGGAAAAATTTTTGATGTTACTGTGGGAAGATTTCAATGATACAATGGGAGGAAAGTTTGATGTTTTTGTGGTAAAAATTTCGATGTTACTATGGAAAAAATTTCGACGATACTGTGAAAAAAATTCGATGTTGCTGTGGAAAAAAATTCGATGTTATTGTGGGAAAGATTTCAATAATATTGTGGGAAGAAATTTCGATGTTACTGTAGGAAAATTTTTGATGATACCAGTAAGGAAACAATCTTAACGTTGACAATACAAGATTGACTTCAGTTTAACAGTAAGGGTATTTTGGAATTTAAAAAAAATAGTGAATTTGGTAAGATTATTATACCTACAAATATTATTATTATGATTATTATTATCATCATCTCTAATGGTTCCACCGTTTGGCTTTGTCGCAGTAGACTTCAGCTTAGAAGTCAGTTTGGATTTCACCTTCGGAGCAGAAGCTTTCGACTTAGCAGGAGCTTTTGTAGTCTTTGTAGCTTTGGGTTTGGTCGTCTTTGGCATGCACTTGTGCTTTCAATACTTTTCTTTGTTTTTTGTTTATTGTGTAAGTCCTTTTATTTGCTTTAGTTCTTCCTCCTAGTTTTTTTTTTAAAAAAAAAAGAATTTCTGTTTCATTCTTTGTGTATCTCTCTTGTTCACCATCAATTGCATTTAACATGAGTCTTAATGGCCGCTATGCGTGAGTCCACCGTCCCCTTTTTTCTTTCTTTCTTTCTTCTTCTTCTTTTTTTTTTTTTTTTTTTTAATTTCTTAAATTTTAAGTTAAGAAATTTGAGTCCAATTCGTTAAACGAATTTTTTCTAAAAAGATAAGGTTTAAATCTAAACCACATCTGTACCCGAACTTGAGCCCANAGGAAAAATCAAATTTCTTACACATTCAAGTCAACTAAAAAATGTATGTTATCTTTTGTTTATAGTCACCTTAACTGTACAACTTAGTGGATTCGCGAGTTTAAAATTTTTTTTCCACTTTTTTTTAATGCTATTTTCTTGTCCCTTTTTTATTTTTTATTTTATAATTCTTAGGCATTCTTGATTAACTAAAATTTTTTCCAAATCCTTTTGCAGCTTAACAGATTCTTTTTTTTTTTCTTTGATTGAGGTATCTTGGACCTCAAATCTCTTGGTAAAAATCTTGACAAATTCTTGATTAACTAATTCCTATGGGTGTGGTAAGAATTTGCCCACTGGCTTATTGATTTCAAGTGACTTTGTTTTTCAAGAATTTAATTTCTAGTATTCCTCTTATTATTTTTTGTTTTTATTTTTTTCAATGTTTGCTTCCTTAGCGTTTTGAATTCTTTATCGAATAAAATTTCTAATAAATTTCTTTAATCTTTGAATGACAGTGTGGAATCCTACAATTTTCTTGAATCGAAGCCTTGTTCTCCCAATTGTGGACCATTCATTTAAAGTTTGTAAAGCCGACAACTCGGACATTAAGCATTATTGATATCAAATGATCAAACAGTGTGGAACCCATTAACTCTTTTTGTTATAATTTTTTGGGTTACCTACTTTAATGTTTTACATATATATAAATACTTACTGTTTGACTCATAAGAATTCGTTAAGTTTTTTTTATGGCTTCTCTAAATTAAGGAATACTTTGCAGATTTTAAAATAAAGAATGATCAAGCGTACCTCGAGAAGGTTGGATTCTTGATTTCAAAGGCCAAATGTAACTCGAGAAAGGTGGATTACAAATTCCAAAGACCTTGGTCTCCATAGCAGTTTTGAAAGCAGCCTTACGACGGTGTGGAATGAAGAATTGAAAAACCCATTAGTCCTTTAGCTTATTATCAGTTCTTATACCAACTTGCAACACCGAACTTCACATTCCTGTAACTAGCGGCCCTTGTGACGAAGAGGATTGAAGAATTGACAGACCCAATAGTTCTTGGGCTCATGACCAATTCCTTCTACAATTTACAACACCGGATTTTTCGTTCTTGCTGACAGCGACCCTTGTGACTGGCTGGAATGAAGAATCGAAGGACCTGGGTGCTTTCA